AGGAACTGAAAATGTGTCGTTCCCAATGATGAAATCTGCCCTCAACAACAGATTTCCTTTCTTCTTTCAAATTTCCGCGTTTCTTTGAATACAGCCTGTTACCACTAGCTATTGCGTTTCATATCCGCATTATTACAAAGTGTAAATATTTATATCTGGTAGTTCTATCAATATCCTGCAAAGAATAATATTTTTCTAAGACTCAAACCTGTCAATACAAAATATTTCTGATATTACTAAGAATAATGATTAATTTTGTGGTTTGAATATTCACTAGGGACTACAGACTACAAACATTCAGTATGTGAATGAGAATAGTCTGTGAGCATCAGTGCATGCGATGATAAGCGGACATGGCACGTCGCCGCCACATTGTTACCGACACTATGTGTGCCGCAATGGCCGACGTGCTCGCAACTCTGACTGAGCTGATATTGATGGACCTGATGTCAGACTCTCAGAATAGCGCCACAGTTCATACCCAGCAAAACAATGCGCTTTTATTTTCTATTATCCGCACTACGCATATTAAGTCAGTGGAGTCGCAACAGATTGCGGTCGTCGTGATTGAAGATATCCGACGCTGTGACAGTGCGAAATTGAGACCGCGAGATGCGGTGATAGAGATTTAATTAGATTTGCGCGTCCTGCGACGAGCGAGGTTACGACTTACGACTCTGCGGTGAATTGTTTGCCCATAATTTATTAAAACGATTCAGTTGATGTGTGATGTCTCAGCACCAAGTTACTATCGGAATTTCGGAATCAATTTGTGGTTTAGTTTAATCAAGAATTTCTCATTTTGAAAATTTTGATTTTCAGCTAAACTACAAAATCTTTATTTGCTGCGATTGTCTATCCTTATTAATCTGTGACAATATAAAAATAATTTGCAGCATTAAGCCCGCAACCCAAAAGGTTGGTAATGGCGAAGATATTTCAGCCTCGGCCTCCGTTGGCGGATGGCAATCATTTCGTTTCATTTCGTTCTCAATTTACAGGCCCCAGCAACAGTGTTGCCCAACCACCCTGCCTCCACACCCGCGCACATTGTGGCAATTTCTCACTCGTTTCGCGTCTAGTACTAAGCGCGAATTAATCCTTTGTTACTTCTTTTTGCGCTCGGCCGCTCAAATCGCGCGCTCGTATCGTTTATTTTTCTCTCGTCGCCCGCGCCCGGCCATCACCAGCAACAAATGACACTTTTATTAAAACTCCTAGAGGGGTTTATACGCGTACGTGACCCGAACGGGTCTTATTACTTTTCGAGATTTCATATACCATTTCACTTCGAAGGCGACGGCGGCGACTCTGCGCCGGTTGCACCTTTCGCCCATCGAGAAATTATACATGCCGCCTCCACGTCGACAGGAACTATTAAATCATCGTTGCTAGTACGACTGGCTAGGGGTTTGGGATAAACTTATCCCCGCGACGGGCTGGAAATTTTAACTGCAAAATCATTTTGCTTCTTTTCAAAACTCTACGAACTTTCACGGGGGCGAAGCCAAAACGTTTGCGTTTTTTTTTTTGTTTTACGTTTGCTTACCTTCCAAGTTTTCAACTTTTTGAAAGTTTTCGCACTCCGCGGCTTCGCGAACGTCTAATATTTTTTTAAACGTTTAACAGCGTATTAAAGTAATGAAAATTAAACTTGTTATATTTCATCAGCGGGAGTATTTAAAATTCTAATTAATGTCATTAAATAAACTTTTAAACGGACGGAACTTTACAAAGGAAACTCTCAACTTTTACAACAAGGTAGTTCAATAAGTTTTCTTGCAATTTGCTATAACTTCTTTATATTCAGTTCATTGATTCCTTTTTTTTTTCTTTTTTGGCATTTGGAAAAGTTTGATGCGTGAGAATTTCCAGCCGGTTTCATTTTGTCTTTCTGGCTACGCACCAGGAGTGTTAGTACACGTGGAAGACATTAAAATTAATAATCGGTCTTGGAAAGTTGCGCAAATTTTCGGCACGGCTTGTCAGCTCAGTCGTCTACCTAATGCAGGATATTTTATTTAATTGATGAGCAAATTTTCTTAATCTTCAGCGCCAGCTGCGTGATATTTTCAGCAAAATTTCGAAAAAATTGTATTTTTGATGATTTTTTCATTCCCTAAAGAGTTTTTATGTAAAATGGCAAATGATGTGCTTGCACTCACCCCAAAATGAAATCTTACCGTGAAAATCTAAATGAATTATTCAATATTTTGCAAAACGCCGCTGCTTTATGATTGATTTCGCTTTTTTACGTATTTTATCGAGACATAAACAGCCCATACGCAAGCGGGGCCCTCTCTCACATATTTCCACCTAATACATCGACGGAAGAACTCCGAAATGATGATCCGCATGGCTGCGTTGAGCTTTATCTACCCTCGCAAACAAGTATGAGTGCTCACCGACAAACACACACCATAGCATCGGTACATGCACGCGCATAATTCTTCGTTTCGCGTCGAGATTTACAATTTAGATTGATTGCGAATTCATCGCGTCTTGCGTTTACACACATCATCAATCACGCAAAACCGCGTTAACTATAATTTTATTTATCATTGCGAGACGCAGAAAAAAAAAGCAAACACGCACCAAGCGAGAAAAAATAAAACCAACAACATTTTTTATTCAGTTTATCTTGGTCAAATTGCAATTATTTCTAATTTTGCTTTTCAGTTCGTAAATATTCACAAATTACTATTTCCTGAAGAAGCGGTAGCAACATACGACTAGTAATTAAACCGCCTCATTGTCGTCGTTGTCGTATGCCAACAGATAAACTTATAATAGTCATGGCGTACACCACAAAGGTGTGAGTGGGCGCATATTGAATACCTGCGCGCATTGTTTGCTGGCTTGCAGTTTACACGCGTGCTCCACGTTCGATTTACGTCCCTTCTGCTAAATTATTCGCGTGTTTCGTGCTAGCAGAACCGGCGCGCATTTAACGAGATTCATTAATATTAAATTACGTGCCCATCATGCCGTTTTGCGCATCGTCGTTTGCTGCACATATTCGCTTCGGTGATTTTCGACGATGTCGTGCATATCTACATAACACTCCAATTTGTGGATCATATACTCGTAGATCATAAGAGTTTGAATTTTAAACTAGTTGAATGTTTGGAACCCTTTTGGTCACAAAGTATTTTTGATAAGTCAATTTCCAACGCGTTGTGTCAAAGCGAGCTGCTCCACCTAACCAGCGTCAAAACACAGCGAGTTTGGAAAATAATTAAATCGAAAAGCGTCGTTTGATGTCCTCTGTTGAAACCGCATGAATGCGAAATCCGCTAGCTACAAACAAAGATTTTTCTACTCTTTGTGTTTCGACGTTGATTAACATTTTAAGCAGGTATCTAATGGAATAAACAAGATTTTATTTCAATTTATCATCCGCAATGCACAAATTTAGCGTGATATTAATATATCACCGGAAATTCAGTGTAAACACACAAATAAAAGCAATTTAATGCAAGCCGGGAGTAAATTAAATTCGCGTGTATGTTGTTGTGCAGTGCTGGTCTATTTGATGTATTTGCACATCATGACGCCTCCGCTGGTTCATACCGGGATACGAGTGCGCAATAATAAGCGAAATAAAAAAATAAAACCCAGTCGTTTCGACCCTGTAGGGCATTTTCCGGCGCGCGCGTTGCGATACTAACTTCATTGCGAGATTTTCACAGATTTGCTTTCATGCAAAGCCTGAAATAGAGTGCGAATTTCATGTAATATCGCGAACTTCTTTTTTTGTCTTTCCCGCGCGCAGTTTTTACTTTATGCTGAAAAGTAAGTTTAATTTGCGTGCCCCTTTTAGTTTGCGGTTGCGGCATGGAAATTGTAATTAAAGCTTAAAGCGTAAAAAACATTTTTATTTAATTTGATTTCATTTTATATCATTTCATTCGGACACATGGGTAAAAATGTGGAGGTTCCAATGGAAATTCAGTGTTGTGTGCGCGCAGAAACGCAAATTTAACGATGTTAAAGTGCATGTCATATATATGATCGTTATTTTCCATTTAATCTCGTTGCAGCAATTGCATTCGCCAGCACAATTAGCAAGTTAGCTATCGACTGATTAAATTATCCAATCTAACCGTGCGTGAACGACGGCAGTGAATAATATCGGGCATAAAGATGTTTCTACTCGGCGGGCAGCATTCAATTTCGATTGAAATGCGCGCATTGGATTCCATCTCGGATAAGTAGGTACGCGAGAGCAGCCAGCGAGGGTTGGCAGTGGGTGGCGAAAGTCGAAAATCAGCATGCGGAATGTATGCATAGCGGCGTCTGGCGCGCGCTATCTGGACTTCCGCACCGGTTGAGATGTGCTCCTCGGCGCTTCCTATCCGCACGCGCGCCATTCCATTCCAGTCTGCTCGACGTCACTTCCACCTTTGCTGGCGTTGAATCACAATAGCATTGCGATATGTTTTACTACAGCCATCCCAAGGAGCGCCACCTGCATTTTCATATCCTAAAAATATCCAAACGTAACTGATGCAAGTCATGTTTGCACTTCTTGCTGATGGTCTGTTTTCTTATCCCGGTGGAGGTGCAGGTGTTTAGAGTGTGGGAATTATGCCGTATGAATCTTGTAAATAAATGGCGGTTGTAAAAGAAAACTCGCAGCCAATGATAAATCGCGCCACGATCGTGCGAATACGTGCCCGTCATGCATTTCCCGTGCTTTAAAACCCATTCGCAGCGCGAGGCGATGGACATAGGTTAGGAAAAAGTGGTGTTGGTATCAATAGCCCGGAGAAAAACTATATTTCCACGCGCGCAACAAACAGTGATATGTTACGCTCTCTCCTCGAAAAGTAAAAAAAACCTCCGAGGGCAAATTTATACTGATGGTCTTTGATAGTAAACATGCGTTATGTGCTTCTGATACATTTGCAAAATTGAAAATGGAAAATATTGATATTGAGGATTTAAATCTACAATTTTAGAATTTATTTTTAACGTAATATAATAGCTTTGTGAGGAAAACCGCAGTTTCCAGGGATTAGCGTAATTTAATCTTGTTACAAAATACGCACCAATGCAAACCTCTTCATTCTGTGCCTACTGATATCCACCCATTTGAATATAGTTGAAATTAGCACAGCTAAGTGTGCCAGAAGATGATAACTGATGTAGGTTTCAATTTTGAGGCAACCAGACTCCAGTAGTCTTGATTTGTCATGATTTGACGTTGACTTCCGGTTTGGAATGCGAGGGTCTTTCGTATACTAAGTATTCCCTTCCACAGTGTGTTATCCCCTCAACGAGGTTAAGATAAGATGTCGGCGGTGCTTGGTGGGTTGGCATATTGAAACTAATGCTGTTTTCTTTTGTTGCAGGCGCACTCGCCGCTGCTGGGCTCCGGAGACAACAAACCCGTAAGTGAAACGTTTGCACGAGTCGAGACTCGTGGGAGACGCGAGACTTTTCTCACACCAGTTTTCCTCATTCCGAAAGACCACTCTTGCTTTGAGCCATTACATATGGGTTTCCTTTCCTTTCTGGCCCCCGCATAAATTACCCGCCGGTCAGAAGGGTGGAAAACAACGCGCGTGGTTTTCTTTTCTTCTAATTCTTTGTTACTTGTTTCACTTTTGCGCTAATGGAAGCGGGAATTACTTCCCGTGGAAATTCTAAAAATACGCTCAGATGAGTTTTATTATTATATTACGTTCCAAGTTGGTAGCTAAAGTTTCGAGAGAATGTCGGAATTTATTATTGATTTGCATTTCCGGTGGAGATTGGTTGTCGCATATGCGTCGCGGCCCATTTGCGCAAATAGCAATTTGCACCCGCAAACAGAGCGGTTGTGCCGAATTTAATAAACCGACAGCGGCAGTTATCGCATGCGACGCACATCACTGCGCGTTAGTTGCATTGTCACCGAAAATATTTGTAATTAAATTGTGCATTTAAAAGCTTTCCAATTACGCACCAATTACACCAGCGTGTGTCATCAACTATTTGATTACTATGGACCGCAATGGTTAACTGCGTCCCAACACATTTCCACATTACACTGGTTTAATTAACACAATGTTTTACTCAATATCTAAATTAGATTAAACGCATTTACGCGTAATTATGTTAATAAATTATTTAAATGTCTTGGTAAGTTTATAATGAATTTAAAATTTAAAGATTCTATTCAGAAAGTGAAGTTGAAAGCAGGCGAGTTTTAATGCATATTAGCGTAAGTAGTTGGTGCTTGATGCCCTTGTCTGCCAATGGCGATGAGTATGATAAAATGCGTTTTCTTTTATATCTCCTTCTCACCTGACAACGCGCGTTGCCCTTCGCTCTAATTTAATTAGTTTTAATAATAACGAGGCATGCGCGCGCGACGAGCGAGACGTCGAGAGATGACGACGCGAGGAAACGCGCACGGCGGAACTAAAAAACGGCACTAAGAAGTCTTCACTCTTCACGACTGCCGTCGACTTCCCTGCGAGAGGTCTCTTTATGAAGCGCAATTTGCTAGCTCGTAGAACCGTTAAGTTCACAAGCGCAGTAATATCTTATACCGGAGCATCCAATTCAACAGTTTAACATTTTTAACCAAAACAAAGGAATTTACTATAATACAAAGTTTAAAATATTATAAACATATTATTTGAGTACTTATACACCTATAATAATTACTATTCGACGTTGTTTGGTGTGGATGGCAAGATAGTAATAAATAAATGTTTTGAAGACACATCGTATGAATCTCTTAGTTCTGTCGTAAGCTAACTGAACTAAAAGTAGGTTTCCGAACGATAGATCACACACGACCGGCGAGCAAATGTAGCTTTGCACGTTCGCTGCATTACGCGCCCGTAATAATAAAGCAACTAGGCGAAATTTAGTTTTGATTCGGTCGCGGACCAAGTCGTGCGCTCGCGGGCACAGCGCATGATCTTGTATTGTGCGCGTTTGTTTTTTTCTCTTTAAATTTCCGCAGCAAAACTATCGTCACTTCAAGTTTTGCACTTTGCATGCGCCGGTGTTGTTATACCACGACAAGAAGTGGTGGAAAGTAGAAATAAAACAAACAAAAACGCGAATAATAATGGGGTGCGGTGTGAAGCGCAACGGTGAAAAGTCGTCGAAATTGGCGGTGGGTTTTTCCAGCTTTAACATCTACACACAGCTTTTTATAAACTTTTTTTGTGTTTAACTGTGTAGGCGTGTATCTGTGTGTGTTTATATTTGTGCGTTTCGTTGCTTAATTTAACGCGGATTGCGTCAGGCTCCCGTTTCGTTTGTCGTTTTTCGCATTCGGGAAACTGTGCTGCGTGCGCGTGCGGAGAAAAGGCATAATTCGAGCTATTTATATTATGCGAAAAGCTTCGCGTTCGGAAAACCGACGATCGAACATTCGTGAAATTTAAAATCCGAAATAATTTATGCACGCACGTTCTGTTGGGAGCGCCGCTGCAAATTTTGAAAATTCGCAGTGTTTTAATTATCAATAGCGCGCGTCGGCGATATATTTTTTGATTAATTTGTGTGTTCCGGGAACAGTGCGTCCATTGAGTGTTTGCGCTGCGTGTACTCTGCGTTTTATTATGATTTATATTCCCCGAACGAAATATTATGTTTGGTGCACTTAATTAAAAAGCGAATTTCAGTGGATATTTTCATTCACAGTAGCAGCGCGGATTGATGCGGCGTTCATTTGTAAAACTCGTGCAATATCCGGTGCTTGAACAAAATGTTCAACACACATATTATTTATGAATAGAGAATGTGGCTACAGATTGAATTTATCGAATTTTATCAATGTGCGGTTTTAACCCGGCCGCGAAATGCATTTAACCATCATTTTTCATCGCTATTGAATTTACTCATAGTCATTGTGATCAACTTCATTAATTTCAGTCAGTAACAGACCTGCGGACAGCCAAGATATCTTTATTTTTTATTTGCTATCCAAACCGCCTACATTCTCTTCCACAAAAGCACTAATAGAACCAGTGGTATCACTATGAATCCTGAAATGTTACATTGTTGCGTCTCAAACACTCAAGTGACACTTGTAACGTGATATGTGTCTTATATCATATTTTCTGATTTAGATTAATGGCGATGACGAATGGGAGTATGAAGAGATCCAGCTGGAGCGCGGCGGCGCCGGTCTGGGCTTCAGTATTGCAGGCGGCACTGACAATCCGCACATTGGTGACGATACAGCCATCTACATCACGAAGCTGATACCCGGCGGCGCCGCCTCCACCGACGGCCGCCTGCAGGTGAACGACTCAATTCTGCAGGTGAACGACATCAGCGTTGTGGATGTACCACATGCCGTCGCCGTGGATGCACTGAAAAAGGCCGGCAATGAAGTGAAACTGGTAAGCGCACACAAACATTGTATTGTTCAACCCATTCCAATGCGGATTGTTGCGCTGAAAGCCAAGGGAAGTGGTACCACTTCTACAGTTGGCGCAGTTTAATTTGAATCCGCCACGCGAAATAGTTTGCCCACTGAATCGCAGCTGATATGGCGTGTTTGTACCGCAGGGCATGTGCACGCCGCTGCCCCTCGGCCCGTTGCGGCTTTAAACTTTGTGCTCAGTCCGTGCGGCACGTCCAACGCGCGACCTCTGAACTTCGTACATTTTCCAGATGCCCATATTTTTGTTACCGCAATTGTCGAAAATTTATGGCGGGCGATCCTTCAGAGGGCTGGCCGTTTTCGGCCCCAGTTCAATTGTACGCGAGTTCAAAGCATACTTGAAGCCCTCTCCGAAAACCCTGCCCTTTTTGTGTGGGACGGGGAGTGAAACAGTTTTATTTATTACTTTTATTCTTGCAGTACGTCCGGAGGCGTCGGTTGCCGGCCAGCATGCATCTACTCGACATTGACCTGGTGAAAGGGAACAAGGGCCTGGGCTTCAGCATCGCTGGCGGCATTGGCAACCAGCACATACCCGGCGACAATGGTATCTATGTCACCAAGGTGATGGACGGTGGCGCTGCGCAAGTTGATGGCCGGCTTGCAGTTGGTGACAAACTCGTCGCGATCAGAGAGCCGGGTGTATGTACTTAAAATTATGTATCAAATTTCATCAGTTACAAATTCAGCTCATATTTCACTTTATTTTTATTTTTTGTTTACATCTCATTTACATAAGCTGCCCCCGCACGTTTTTGCATTTTTATTCCATTTGGATAACTTTGTTAAATTTGCGTTTTGCATGGAGTAAAAAAAAGCACCTGCCAGGCGCAGATGGAGTGCGCATGAATGGCTATGGCATTTCAATGCCCGGCGCCTCCACCTCCGCGCCCCCACAGTCCCTCAGGTGTGCGTTGATTAAATCCTGGCATCGAATAATTAAAATGCAATTGCCACGCTTCCTTGTGCTGCAATTTACGAGCGTATGACTGGCACACACCAATGTGGAAGAATTTCATTGTTCTCGCGTAAAACTTAATTGCTTCGTTTTACGTATTTGGTAAATTCTCGGAAGAGACGCGTGGAACGTGATTTATCAGATTTATAACCTCGACAGATTATTTACACCTTTGCATTCGCAAGTATTTTATTTTTCTCTTTGATGAAGTGGGCAATATTTGAACAAAATTTCACGGTGTGTATTTTTGGTGGTTATGAGTTTGCAAGGGTTGTAAAAGTTGATGTTTTACTGCAAATGAACTCATAAATGTGCTTGGGCAGTTTATTTCAGAGATAAATATTATCTTCAGGCAAGGCATGCAAATATACTCTTGTAATTTTTGGTCAGGAGTCAGACGAATTTTTGTTCAAAACTGTATTTATTTTGTCTTTTCAACTCATACATGTAAATATAATTTAAGTAATGTTCTAGCGAAATGAAATTGTTTCCTATATTTATTTTCCTGTACCATTGCAGCGAGGTGAAATGAATTTGGAGAATGTGACACATGAAGACGCTGTGGCAACGTTGAAAGCGACGCAGGACCGCGTAACGCTCATCATCGCCAAAACACAGAGTGCCTTCAATCCTCCACCAACATCAGAACCATCATATTCACCACAATTATGTAAGCATTGCATATTTACTATCAGCAATACCAACCTTTACGACGCTGCAGTCAGTAATGCACAAGTTTTTAGTGTCACTAAACTCGTCGACGTTTTGATTTCTCTGGACAAATGATTTCGAAATCTATGAGAAATTGCAAAATCCAGTTGAATCTGATTGATTCGCATTTTCTTGCGTGCTGGGTCCTATCGCGTTGAAGGAATTGATGTAGGCAGTAAATAAGCTGCGCAATGAATTTGATCTCGAATCGCGTCGTAAATCTACCGACTAGACCAATTTGATTCACTTCCTAAAATCTTTTAGCACTTTGTCCGTAATAAAACATACACTATCGGGTCGATGACGTCGCGGCCACGCAATTTTACGCCCTTCGAATAGGAGACTCGCGCGAGCATCTGATTAGCGAGCGTCGCAATAAATTTAAAATAATAAAAGTGCACTGCAAGCGCTTGAGACGTCGTTTAAATAAACGAACGCTGAAGATACGACGACGGCCGAAGATGGATGCACGTGACGAGCGAGCGAATCGAACGCGTTCTTTACCTCTTCAGCGACTTCGCGGCGGTCACGTTTGACGATCGTATCTCTTCCGCCCGACACTCGCAACGACAGACACTTAATCGATCCTGTTTATACAGGTTTCTTCTCTCTTTTTGCACTTGCGACTGCAGTTTCTACATTTTGAAATTCTTGCTGTTTTCCAGCCGTGAAGCATCCGTACGCAGAATCTCTTCATTCATCATTACTGGCGCTGCAATCGGCGACGCCGCGAGCTGTCAGCGCTGAAGACATCACAAGGTGAGTGTAAAATAGAATTATTTTACAATTGTATATCGGTGCTCAACCCGCTGGAGGAAAATTATTTCGTATTGGATGGTCGCACATTGTTTGTTTGCCAATTTTATGCGGCCCGCACGAGCGATTCAATTTTCCGCAAGATAAATGTTTGCGTGTCGAATTGCCATAAATATCAATTATGTGGATTGCACGGGGACGAGAGACGATCGTCGGGCAGCGATAAGAGCACATCGCATCGATTCTGCGCTCTCTACTCGTGTAGTTTATGCGGAATTACACCAAATGCATGTTTTCTTATCTCGATGGACGCCCGCCGACGCCAGCAGCAGTGTGGAACGTCCGGGCCGACAATAACAACGGAAATATAGAGTTTCGGGAGCCAATTTTGCATGGAAATGGCCGAAAAGAGTAAGTATTGCAAACGCAATACCAAGCAATTGGAAAAGAACGATTGGTTGCCTATAGTGTAGTCAATTTCTAGCGTCTACTTTAATGGCGCAGAGAGAGGTGAAATAATTCACAAATGTTTACGGCGCGCTTACGTGCATTCACACATTCACGTGTTTACGATAATGAATTTCACTGTTTATCCCGGCATTCTAATTTTAAACGAAGGGGCTTGCACCGCGTTTACTTTACTTTCTCTTGAATGATGAATTTACGTTTATGTCCTCCCTAAAACGCAAGAAACAACTTCCATAAACGCGTGTTATGAGTTATTCTCGTTAATGACTGGTTGTTTTAATTATGATTAACATTGGAAGCGTTACTAATATGATAGTTAACTTAATCACGTTTTAAGGAAGACCACAAACGGGAAACTTTATTTGCAGTTGGAAACTTGCATAAAACATTCATGATTTTAATGTTTGGTTTTGATTTCGGCAAAATCTGCTACATGGAATATTGGATTTCGAAATTCCACGTAGCGATCAGCTTTTATTCAAAAAGTTGCCAAACTTTTGACGACGCTGATTGCGCCGAATAGTTTTCTCCTTTGTCACCGAAAGTTTGCGTAGAAAATGCGCCTGCTGCATGCATATGTCGACTCCCGACAACATCCACTTGAGGAGTTTTGTGAAGTCGTTCGATCAAAGACCGATTCGTTGTTCCACGCTTGCTGCGAATCTGCATCTATATTCGATTTCCATGTTGGCGCATTTTGCAATTTGTAGGAATGCCGCCTGGAACAGCACGTTTTCATACTTCACTCAACGTTTTCCGTATTCTTCATGTGTGCCTGCCTCTCCTCATGCTTCATTCCGTTCGCGCTTCGTATTCCATTCCCATTCGCTGTGTGTGAGTCGTTCATAGTTTTCTTAGCCTGCGTTTGACATCGCGTCTTGAATAACTTATGAGAAATATTTTTGTTCGCCGGCGAGCGCGGTAATAATTAATAGCGCATAAAAATGCACGTTTCGGACATAAATTTTCGATAATGGACAACGATTCTTTGACTTTCTTTGTGCACCTTTTACGGATATTTCGCGTGTTATCGCTGGCCGGTTCAGGAAATTTAAATATACCGCATTGTTTCGCTCGCGAAATAATCAAGCGTAAACTCTAATGGTTGTTTAAATAACGGGCACGTGCGGAGGTCGTAATTGCAGCAATATTGTTTGTTTCAGCTCGCGCCGGACAAATCAATACTTTTAATGAAGCTGATTATTGATGGCAATTGATTTGCGAGTATGCAACATATGTTAATTTCTGGTTATTTAAAGATGTGTATCTCTGCGCATCCGATTACCATTAATTTTATTGCTTGTATTGTCGAGTGAAGTTTACTACTTTTTGTGGGTTTGCACCGCTGCGCGATGTCTTTTTTCGGTGAGAAGTTTGAACGTTTGACCCACTTGCAGCGGCTTTAACATCATGTTTGATGTGAGCCCGGGTCACTAATGAGTGAAGCTTTAAAACTTCACCAATTATTATTATATCAATACGCTGCGTACAAGCGAAATAAATTCATTTTAATTGCGAAACTCTATGCGTAATATTTTGAAATTTCAATCTCGTATGTTCAGTGTTATAGATTCGTATTACTTTGGCTTGAATTTAAATCCAAATCAATTCGGCTGGATTTAGATTTTCGCTCGGTGTGCGCCGGGAGAAAAATGTACATTGCGGAATAAATTAAAAACGCTACTACCTCATTTCAATATTTCCAATTAAACAAATATTGAAATCTGAAGTTGGCAACTTTTGTTTCGCCGCCGAAGTTTGTAATTAATGAATTTTGCAGGCGCAGGCGCTGCTGGCCTCGACTCTCAATAACACATATCGACGCGTTCGCTCCTCGAAAAGTCACACCATTGCGCCGGAATGCTGGAATGAATAATGCGCCGGCATGCGCGATGTGAATACGAAATTGTATTAACTTTGTTACCCACTTTCGCCGTTATTATTATTTCCAAGTCAGGGGTGTCTTCAAGGTCTGTGTGCCGAACTATTTCGACAAGTTAAAATCAGCAATCTGAAATTCGCCAACTATGAGTGAATGCGTTGCGCTGTCTCATGGTCTGGATGTACAAGTTTCTAAGTTAGAAGTTAAATTGCACCGGCTGCATTCTGCTGCGCTTGTGTCTTCAAGTTATCGCGCGTACTCTTCACGGCCCATGCGCATACACATTTTGAACCATAAATAGCCGAAGTTATTTCGTGCTCAAGCTTACACATCCTGGCGATTATAAATAAATACGCCCGATGAGAATTGCAACTTTAGACCTGAGTTATATTTGCATACAATGGAAATTTATCCAAAATTTCGTCTGGTTAGTAAGGTGCATTAAACTGCAGTTTTATTGCCGTGGTAGACGTCTGGAGTGTAGAAATGCAGACGCATGCAATGCACCCCCCATGCGTTAAGCTGGTCGCGGTATGGGTTCTTCGGCGTGTTGAGGGGTGCGGTGAGGGGTCACGGCACCCCTAGCTCGTTGATTGTAACCGTCGAAGGGTCGTGGTGGCCGCTTATTCAATACAATACCGATAGTGCTCATAGTGTTCGCTCTTCAGACTCGTACGGTTTCTTTCCATGATACTTATTTCAGTTTGTTACTGAAGCCCGCGCGTGCTGGGTTGCCATTTTCTTTCCGAACGAAATTTTTGATTTTTCGGGCGTTCGGTATCTTTTCGTGGCTCCACTGGAATATATTAAAAACGTGCGTGAAAACTTACAAGTCGTGCTTGACTCGCTCGAACTTGTACTACTTTGGAAGGTCGGCCGCGAACCATTGGATATAGACTCGCGACTTACCAAGTCGCAAGTCGCGCTCGCCGCAATCTCTGATTCAGTATTCACGAATCCGCGATTGCGTTCGAACGCTCGCCACGCACGGCACTAAACAAGCCGATAATGCCCGTTCGTGGGTGTTTGCCACAACTTGAGGTGTTTTAAAATCACGTGTTTTTCTCTGCTTTTAAATTTGTGCGCGCGTCTTGCCGGTGTTTTAGTTTTGTGTGATTGTTGTTGTTTGTGATTGTGGGATTGCAATCGCATCCATCCATATTTATAATCAAATGGACGATGATGGCACAGATGACTTGATTCGTGCCACTTTGGACGTGGAATAGGTGCGTATATGGTAGCGAAATGTCGTCGACTTGGATGGTTTTGTCGTCCATGTTGGCAGACGGGTGATGTTGAGAAGTGATTCTGGTCGCAGTCGGACTTTATTACCAATATTTAACAACGCTGCGCACACATTACCAACAGTAAATTGCATTTCGAACACGAGAAGCGTGACGTGACGCATATCGATTTAAATAAGTGTTTGGACGTTTGGTCAAGGGCATATATAACGAAATATTTTATTTTTTGTGTACGTAATTATTTCGTCTCTGAATGTGGGAATATTGCATAAAATTCGCGTATTGTCATCTTTAAAATTCTAAACAGAAGGTTGTTGTAGGTGAGGATTAGCATTTTTATGACGGTCGTAAAACGCATGTTTTCGTTTCTTTTCTTTTTTTTTTCGTTGCGGTAGAAAAAAACTAGTGTCGTTTGACTGCAGAATTCATGCTTCTAGGGGTAGTTTGTATTTTATATTGTGACCTTATCGGGTTTGGAGCTGGTTTGTGTTTTGCGGTTGAACATAAAATTTACGCCTAAAGTCTTGCAAAGAAGCATCTGTTGGGGTGATCTGATCTATCGGCGCAGCTTGTGGAACGTAATAAATATGAAAAATTACCAATTCGTGCATTATTAGTCTGCCATCAAATATGCTGCAGGTTTTTCAAAGTGCCTACTCGTTTAAACAGTTTTATCTGAGTATAATTGTATAATCAATTGAATAATTCATTTCCATTAGTGTCGGCTCCGGATGCCACGAAATTTACCAGAATGTCCGACATTCCCGGAATGGCTTGCAATCATCCTGCTGAACATTAATTTAAGAAAAGCAGTTTTTAGTAGAGTTGCCACGAATAGTGATTTGGCCGAATACCGAATATTCGGCAATGCTGTTGGCCGAAGCGCCGAATATTCGGCTAAGTACGATTCTTCTCCACGTCGTAAGAAGAGAAACTTGAACGAAAATGATAAGACATTTGAAATACACGACAGTTTCTGGAACTGCTTTGAGGAAGTCGCTAAAGATAATATGCGAAATAGTAATAGGCAAATGAGATGGATTTTTATTTGAAATCAAATCGCCTAGATCGGAAAGCTGATCCTTACAAGTGGTGGTCAGCAAATGAAAAACAATACCCAAACCTCTCGAAATTTGCTAAAGTTTATCTTTCTTCTCCCGGGAGTAGCGTGTATAGTGAGAGGTTATTTTCTGAAGCTGGTACCATTTACGACGAAAAGCGTAATCGTTTGCTATCGTCAAATGCTGAAAAGCTTGTTTTTATCCATCACAACCTACCGATGATTAATTTTACTTATTAAAGTATTTTAATTTGATAATAAATACATATCATGATTAATATGATGTGTTTTTTTTCTATGATTTGGTATTCGGTATTCGGCCGAATAGTACCTATTATTCGGCCGAATACCGAATACCAAACAAAGTGGCCGAATAGGCCGAATACCGAATAGTAGCCGAATATTCGTGGCACCTCTAGTTTTTAGCATAAATTGGCACAAATGCATTTAGGTTTACCCCCCATTAAGTTCTTCTTCCTTCATTGCTGTTAGTAGTTTCACTTAACTCTTGCAACTGTGGGTACTTTTCTCTGGAGATGCACAAGATGCAAATGTAAAAATGCGCCCGCGGGGTTGTCGCCGCTCGCTGACCTCGATTATTACCGCTATCGCTCATCCACGCGCGCCGCGCGTCTCCAACATGAATATTAATTGCAGCCGAGAGTTGTCGGCTAATGAGGAAAGTTGTTCGGTGCGATGTACTCGCACTCGACTCGAGGATGCTTCTCGCAGCTTCTTAAAGCGGTTATAATAGTTTCGTTTTTCTTTCTTTCTTTCCTGCCAACTTTTAGCCGAGCTATCAGTAGCAATCGTCTGGTTGTAACGATGGCGTTGATTATAAAGTTTTGCAACACCGCCCCGCAGCTACAAAATAAGGGGTATGGCACGTCTTCATTCTTCACCATCTTGGGCGGTAATTAGTGCGGTGTCGCACCGAACAGGCGTTTGCGTAGGCTATGTTTGCACCCAGTAATTCAGAGGAAAATTTCAACATGTTGTGAGTAATATTAGAAAGTCTCATGGTCGCATGGAGGCCTAGCCTCTACCTACTGTATGGAAATCCCTTTCTGTTGCAATTAATAATATGCATTTTCACCACACCGTCAAAAGTGTTGATACTAGTCGCTTAAGACGTGTGTAAACAGATGAGTAGCACAAGTTGGACATGTAGAAAGTGCACTTTCTTGATTGAGAAAAGGAGATGCGTCGCGATAATCATCGTAAGTGCTGGATAACGTTTTAGGTGTTAAGCGGTTTGAAGTTTCTTCTTCTGTCAGATTCAACTTTAATTTCTACGTGCAAACACCTCTATGTAACAGTAGTTGTTAGCCGACTGATTAAGTACTTACACACCGGTGCAGAATATAATATCGGACACACCTCGCGTCCGTATATTACTTGTCAGCCCGTCATGACTTTGCTTACGGTTATTGTCGGCGCGCCTCGGCTGCAAGCCAACCCATACATCGCCCATGTCACATTTATGCTATGATATTAATTAAAGCGTGCCGGAAAAAAGCCTCCAAACACGTCTGGGCGTTTCTTGTTCGCCGTTGCTACTTGAACCGCGAGGAAATTACGCGCATTATTCAAATTGCCGAGTTCTAAAACTAGTATTTGCTGTGTTGGATGGAGTGTATGAGTGGTATGCAGTTTGCAAACTTTTGGCATGCGAGAGTTCATCGAATGTATGCATATACTCGAGTTCGACTCGGCCCGAAGAACCAAAGGGGAACTATAAATGTTTTACTGCCCGCGCCGTATCCATAATAATAGCCATGCCATGCAGCGCCGAACGCGCACTCACAATTCCGTCAACTATTTTTAGAAAGTAAATTTAGGACGTCGCTTAATTCCAAATTTGGGTCTCTCGCGCGCGCCTCACTTGACTGCATCCGATTGAAAATCTTGTTGAGCGGGCGGTTCATGTAGAGCGTGAAACACCTACGGGCGTATTGCAATGACTTCTTTGACTCCTCCGAAGCGGCATTAACGTCTCATAACTCTCGAACTTAGCGGCTAATTGCATTTTCACTAATAAATAAACAAATATGCAAGTATGCATTGGCTAAAAATACAAATACACACAAAATGTCATTTTCTTTACGCTTTGTGTAGTTATGATATTTATCGGTTGACTTTTCAATTTAAGAAAATCTAGAACGTCTGCGCGCCAGCTGCCGGTGCGCTGAAAAATTGCACCAGAACGCAATTTAAAGTTTAAACTATAAGATCAGAGCACCAGGCAGACGCCGAGAGAGCGGCCGAACTTAAACTACTTTTGAAATCGAATAAAAAACTCCGCCATCGCAAAAAGCACACAATATTTTTATTACGCCCGTCTCTCTGGAGTGCCTCCGGGACGCGCATTCCTTCATCTATACGTGCGGAGCGCAAAAACTCTTTTTAATCAAATGCTCCAGGGGAACATGTTTGCCGAAGACCAAACGAACGAAAGAGTTTCGGCGTAGCAATCGACGACTCTCTGTAATTTCTTCATCCGTTCGCGACAAGATACAAGTTGGTCAATTCAGGTTTTGGCCTCGATTTACACGTACCAAATCAATTACCAATATGTCGGCGGCATCACTGCAGCATGGATACTATTTATTTTAACAAGTATTTAACGGTTTACGATGACCGCTTGGTCTTTTCACAAGCATGTGTTTATGTACGAAATTTGAATCGATAATGATATGCACGTCCACAAGCGCTTCGATTACTAGTGTGAGTCATGGAAAGCTGTTGGTAATATAAGCGCGTCGACCGCGACTGGAAGCCAACATCACTGGTTTATGCAATGCGACGCAATGATACTAATTATACATGAACTTCGTCAGTGTGTGAATCAGTTACCGAGGCGTGTGCGGGCTTCGCTGGAGCAGCGAAGGCGCCATCGAAAAGTGTCTGGCTTGTGGATTCCGCGACTATTTGGCAAACGATAGTCGTCCGCCGATATCCGCAAAATTGCAATTTCCTAGCCACCCCTGAAAGTGCTTCTGTGTGTTTCCCGTGTGACAACATCGTTTAAGGTGCTGGGTGAAATTATGACGAAAAACAAACAGCAGTCTTTTCCGCTTCGGACGACGTTCGCCACGCTGAGCCGCCGCTTTCGGAATAAAGATAAGCTGAAAAGGTATGACATTCCGAGCGTTCTTGTTTATTACAACCGGGCGTCGCACTAAGCAGCCCCTTTCTATTCCGTGTTTTGACAGAAAACGGTAATAACTTAATCTCGTCGGGCGCATTTCTTCGTCGCCGTCGAGAGCCTGTTTTTATTGTTTGCCCTGTTATGGAATGTAGGTAAACACGACTTTGGGTCAGCGAGCAACAAGCGTATTCTGGTTGGTTTTATACACCGATTTTTTTTCACTCAAACAGCCGGTTGTGCGCATACGTAATCAAGGAAAACCCCTTTAGCGAGAAATTCCTTGAACAAATATACTTTGAGTGTGTTTATTGCTAATTATTATTTCATGGTGATATGATACCGAGGGGCCATTTACCCGTTTGCATTATTTATATTTGGCGCGTTTTGAATTACGCGTTTGTTGATCAAACTATTTCGAGTGTTGACAATGGGGACACCAAACGCTTAAATTACTAAAGTATTTGTTACCATGACATGCCATTTGCGCTAATATGTTTGTATATAATAAATTTGTTTGGACTTTCGTCTGCGCAGAGTCGCACCGGGAATGTCATCAAATTGACAACATGAATTATAAATCATGTACCGGCTCTGCGCACGGTATTCATTTTATATAACAGCAATTTCAATTTTCTATAGTACTACGGTATTTAATTAGAAACAGGTAATGGTGTATGACACAATGCAATGTAATTTAAATCGAATAAATTGTTGATGCACCTATATACGCTCAAGGATAGCGTCGTGGTCTAATGACGATACGTCACGAATCTATAAACAGGAAAATTCAAAGCAGGTCCGGGAAGGAAAAAAATCCCCCGCGTTTTGGGATCAAGGTCTGGACTACTGGTCTGGCCTCCTCGAGTTTAAATATAGACGTGCTGTCAGTAATATTGATTCCGCCGCCCGCCGTTCGTGCACCACCTGTGGGGATACGCTCGGAGGGCGGCGGAGCGCAAGCGTCCGCACCCCAGCGGGCGGCTGCTGTCGGAGCCGGAGCAGTTCTGCCAGTCCCGAACTCCTTGCCGTAGGTCAAGCACGCCGAAAAGTGTCGTCGACACGAGACTTCCTTCCTTTCAACATACATCGCATCTATCGCCAGGTTGTAATACGCTTCATCTTGTTTGATAAGATTGCATTTTTCTTGGAGATATCATGTTGCACGAAGCAAGGCGCGACACGTGAGTTCGATGTGACTATTTGTCAACCCAGCAACTATCACCATATGTGCCCAATGTGTGACCATCCAAAGAACTCTCTGTTTTCTTAAATTCAATGATGATATCAAAATGCGAGAGTTTTCTACTCAACCAGTCGAGTCCTGAGATTCCTGGCTTGACGATAGAAGCAATGAATTTCCACTTTGATCGCTGAGCATTTTTAAATTTTTTTGTTTGTTTTACGTTTATGATTGGAAATTTTGGTTCATTACAAATGATTTTTTTTTATAGAGATGTGAGGACGGTCGTTTTGTCGAAAGGCAATAGTGGTCTGGGCTTCAATATCGTCGGCGGCGAGGACGGCGAAGGCATCTTCATATCGTTTATTCTTGCTGGCGGCCCTGCAGATCTCTGCAACGAACTGCGCCGCGGCGATCAGATCATCAGCGTCAACGGCGTGAATTTGCGAAATGCCACGCACGAGGAGGCGGCCCAAGCGCTCAAGGGTACTAGCCAGACGGTTACGATAGTCGTACAGTACCGTCCTGAGGAATACAATCGTTTTGAAGCCAAGATTCACGATCTTAAGCAACAGATGTCCCAACAGGTTACTAGCGGGACGCTGCTACGTACATCACAGAAGCGATCACTCTACGTCCGGTAAGAATTTGATTTTAACAAATAAATATTAAATATAATCTATAGAAATGTATAAACAATTCGGGATTTATTTGTGCAATTAATTATTTTTTAGGGCACTATTTGATTACGACCCAATGAAAGACGATGGCCTGCCAAGCAGAGGACTCGCCTTCCATTATGGCGACATTCTCCATGTCACGAACGCCAGCGACGACGAATGGTGGCAGGCGAAACGCGTACTTAATACAGGCGATGAACAGGGAATGGGCATCATTCCCTCGAAGAAGCGCTGGGAACGAAAACAGCGTGCCCGGGATAGATCTGTCAAATTCCAGGGACATATGCCCAACATTCTGGAAAAGGTAAAGCGCGCACTGTCTGGGGGGGGCTTGTAAATTAAATCCTCTGTAATTGCATTTTTTTGTTCCACCTACAGCAATCCACGCTAGATAGGAAAAAGAAGAACTTTTCATTCAGCCGGAAGTTCCCCTTCATGAAGAGCAAAGACGACAAGTCCGAAGACGGCTCCGACCAAGAACGTAAGTCATTATCACTTTGGAATTAACTCCTCACGCACTAAATACAATTACACGCACAATGTAACTCAATTTTGTTAAACATTTACGTTGTTCCAAATCTTGTTAATGTCTTTTTTGTTTTGTTATGTTTCGTATATGCTTATGTCTTGTAATGTTTAATTTGCTTTAATTTAATTAGATTCCCAATCTGTTTCACCTATTTCTCCAAATGATAACGATTCGAAAATGCAATGTAAGTATTAACCACACGACGAAAGAAATAGAAACCCTGTGTTTAGTTTTTTGTTTAAATTTTAGATTTGTTAGATTTCATTTGAACACACTGTCACACAAAACGCTAATTGCATCTGCTAACAATTAACATACATTCAATGAATTAAAGTTTAATTGATTTCTGATTGGGTCTGTTGTTCTTTTGTTTTAGCGTTCATGCTGTGCTACACCCAGGAGGATGCAAACACAGAAGGTACAGTACACGTTTGCTATTTATTGACGTTCAGAACACTGAACACAGAATATATATTTCAAATATCTATCTACTTTGACAACAAATCGAAACAACTTTTTACCATAGCGGTGTCCTTTTGGTTTACTATATGAATTTTTTCTTTTTTGGCTTCTTTCTGTGTTTCATAGTACAGGTGAAATATTATATCGCGTTGAGCTCCCGTACATGGAAGAAATCACGTTAATATATCTGGAGAATAATGATAATTATGACAACTATAGTAAGTGTTAGTGTTGTGACTGCATGGCAATTGCCAAGTGCCCCTTTTGCACAAATATTTAAGCGAACGTGTTTCTTTTTAGACCCTTGTTCGTTCAAAACAAAACGTCTCTCTTTGTTATCCCATATGGTTTTTGATTTAGTTTGATTCTTTGCGTTTGTTCATTTATTTGAATATCCAAAAATATTTGCTAATTAATTCGGCAATATTATTGAAACGCAAATAAAAATCAAAGTAACCAAACCAAATTTGATCAGATTTGCAAGTTTTGAATTGTCACCATCCAGCTAGTAGGTTCACCTCATTTGTTAATAAGTTACACATTGTTTTCTTCTCGTGTGCGACAACAATTCACTATTTTTGTTCTCACTAAAATGATTAATTGAAAAAAGGCTTTCCGTACGCATACATCAAATTTAAATAGTTACTAATTAAATTTTAACGGAGTATTTGCTTAAATTGTTAACAAAATTACATCTTCGTTTTCCGAAATCAAAAATTATGCGTTACACACTAATACTATGTTCACTATTTATAATATTTTACTCAAAACTTGATGAAAACATAGCTCCAATAGTAGGACGCTCTTTGAACCGATGTTTCATTTTATTTTACTACTTCAGTAAATTATTTTCACCCCAAATCCGAATGCGCAATGAATGTTCAAGCAATTTTTTCTACGAACTTTTGATTCAATTCTCTTTATCTAAATTAATTCAACGTAAATTAGCATAGCATATACTTAGAGTCGTGAATGTGTTTATTGCGTTTACAGTAGTGGAGATTAATGAATTTCTGCATTATCCAGCGAGTATGATACGATAGAGTTTTAACGTTTATATTAGATAATTATATTGATAGTTTGATTGTTGTATGTTTCCACTTTAATTTCTTCCATTTGATTTGCCAGTTAGCTACGATTTATTTCGAATTTATTTCGGTGCCCATGGAAAATTAACTGACAAATTTTGCCATGAAATCAGCATCCATAGAGTTATATATAAACAATGTTGAGAAAAGTAAAAATCTGATTGTCTATGGGTTCTGATTTGGTTCTACCATATTTGATACGTGAATTAAAATGCTTATTATTAGAAATGCGTTTCTGAATTTACCTGCTATGATTTTGAAACATTTGAATTTGGATGTGTATGCTCTTAACTATTTTAATCGATTAATTCTATTTACTGCCCATGAATAGATTTACATTTATTGTTCTAATTGGTTTGATGAAAGTAAAACACGGGTGGTGGATACAATTCTTTATAGCAAGCAAACCGCTGCTGATGTTGATGGCGAGTAATCTAAAGAATTAATTAAGCTCAACATGTACAGTACAATATCTCTGTGCTTCACGTGTATCGTCCCGTATGATGATGTCTTGTGATAAATGTGCTCACGTAATATTTACATTCCGATAGCCTCACGTGTTTTACGTGTACCAAACATCTGTGTATCCACCCACCAGTAGCAGACAGTTCTCGTTCGATTCTCGTTGGTTGGCTTTCATAGAGTTGAACTTAGAGTTGGACTTTAGTTGAAACCAAAGATACCAATATACTATTTTGAATGATCATTTCGTTGAGTTTTGAGGATGGTGGCAGCGCGTACTTTGCAATGAATCTTTATCGCCTTTTGCAGGTAATGAGGAGAACGTTTTCTCGTACGAAGCTGTACAACAGATGCAAATATCGTACACGCGACCGGTCATTATCTTGGGGCCGCTGAAGGATCGCATTAACGATGATCTCATATCAGAATTTCCCGACAAATTTGGAAGCTGTGTTCCACGTAAGTGTCGATTTTCAACTCTTGGCACATTACTGAACAATTGAAACGATTAATTTGAATGTTATTGCAGATACTACCAGAGCAAAACGTGAATATGAAGTGGACGGAAGGGATTATCATTTTGTCGCCTCCAGGGAACAGATGGAAAAGGATATTCAGAACCATTTATTCATTGAAGCCGGGCAATACAATGACAACTTATACGGCACTTCGGTTGCTTCCGTTCGGGAGGTGGCTGATAAGGTAATATCTATAATTATTTTCGAAGATAATCATCTAAGTGCACCCTGGACGTAATTAATTGCAGGGCAAACATTGCATTTTGGACGTGAGTGGTAATGCCATCAAGAGATTACAAGTGGCTCAGTTGTATCCGGTTGCAATATTCATCAAGCCGAAATCGGTGGAGTCCATCATGGAGATGAACAAACGCACTACAGAAGAACACGCCAAGAAGACTTACGAGCGGGCACTGAAAATGGAACAGGAGTTTGGGGAATACTTTACAGGTAAACTTTGATTTCAAATTTTGTGGGTTTGGGGTCACAATCAGGAGGACTTAAATTTCGAGTATGCATGTTTTTGTTATAGCGGTTATACAAGGAGATACTCCTGAAGACATCTACGCCACTGCAAAGGAGCTCATTGCCCAGCAATCTGGACCGAAAATCTGGGTACCGACCAAAGAAAAACTGTGACCCGAGGCCCCGCCGGTTTGGACACTACCGCCGCGCTCACGCCTGCACTAGATTTTCTCTTTCGGAAAGGACTTGGAACGCATTCACATATGCATACCGTTTCTTCACTCTTATCTACGTGCAGTGCCTCGTTTCACATTTTAACATGCTGAGCTATTTCATGATTTCTCTGGCAACACAAAAATTGACGCAGATGAAAGAGTAAATGTAAAAAAATACGTCTATTCTCTATTTCGAGTAGGCCCTCCCCCTCTTCTCGGATAAGATTTAACACATTATATTGTCTGACATGAACGATGTTCAGGCCGCTTTTAAATAGTTGTCGACATCCTCAGAATTATTTTGAAATTTTTACACATACATCGCACTTTTGTTATTTGTATTAACAACCTATTCCATATTACGACATGAAAATGAAACAATAAGGAAGAAAATTACGGTATTTAGAGCCAAACATTTAATGAAACATAAAAATGGAAATATGTAATAGCCAATTGTTAAATTTAGGTAGTTTTATGAATGTTTTGTAGTGTATGTATGATATATTTGAGATTTCCCTGCCAACTTAAAAAATATTACTATGACAAACCTTCAAAATGGAGTAATTTGAGAAAGAAAAATCAAGTTGTACATACACGGAATATCTATGTGTAGCAAAATCCATAAACCTGTTATTGTTATTTGAATTAAAACAAAACAAAAAGTTGTGACCTAACTTATTTAAGTTAAACGAATAAATTTTAATATTTAATACCGATATAAGATTTTTTATTAACCATAACCCAACTGGGCTATTATGAAATTTTTCTTTATTCATTTTAGTTTTCTACTTATTAATGAAAGTTTAGAAAATTCTGTATAAGATAAGATGATAAAGTATATAAATCTCGTGGGGTAAAAGTTCCGAAATTGAGACAAAATAACGCATTTTCATTGTTAAAAGGATTTGTGAAATTGGAATTTTGTTTTTATTTTAATTTTCATAACTTTAATTTTGAGTCTAACTGTATCATTACTAGATGGGACTAGCATGAACTAAAAATCGTAAAATAGACTCGCACTGCTTATTTCTCTGCTTTTGTATATAAACAACTTTTTTGTGTCGCGTTGCCATCTCTGCATGCCGCATGCTGCATATTCAAGTTTAGTTTTGATCGCATGTATTCTGCCTATTGAAATTCGCGCACAAGGTCGCGGGCCATCGATGCGCCGGCTTAGCGTATCTCTTGCTTTCTTATCATAAACTGCGCGTTGTTGCTTGCGCAGTTTCGGCATTCGCTATCGGTGGATTGCGGCCTGGCAGCCAGTATCGTGCCGGTCTCTGGTTGTTCCACTCGTATTTTACGCGGTTCGTATTGTGTGTCTGGACGTCTAGACTTCCACTTTTAGATTTGAGCGCATGAGTTGTGTCCATTGTAATTCGCGCCTAAGCTCGGTTTGTCGGCGTGTGCCATTGATGCGTTGGCTTTACGCATCTCTTGCTTTCACCTGCGGGGTTTGGGCAGCAGGTAGTCTTATCAAAAACTGTCGCGTCGCTGTTTGTGCAATTTCGACATGTGCTATCGATGGATTGCGGTCGAGCACCCAGTTTTGTGTCGGTTTCTGGTTGATGCAAAAGTATTTTACGCGACTCGTATAGCCTTCTATTTTCCAAATTAATCTTATTTAATATTTATGTGTTTTGTCTTTAAATTCGGTTTTGATCGCGCTTAAAGTGTAACACAAAGTGTAACAAAGTGATATACATCGCCTCCATGTTGATTTATTCATCATTAGGATGACCCATCGTGCTGGTGTAAGTAAACAGCCCAGATTTTTTGTTTTTCTCCGCTGGTGATTATAATATTATAATATTACTAAATAGTATGAAATATTTTTGTTTTAACATATGTTTTGTTTTTTTATTTACAGTATTTGCCGAGCCTTGGAGTCGATGAGCTCTGTACGTTGTTTTTGAAGTGAAAACTTCTTTAGAATCGTTGTGATATCAAAATTAATGAAAAGACAAGGAACAAATCGCAGACTGACAATTCTCAAATAAGCTAGTTAAATTGGAAATCTAAGACATGAAATTTTAATTTACAAGAAAAAATGGGCAAAGGTAATGAGCAATTTTTATAATCTAAATTTCGAGACTACGAGTACAACATCAATAAAAGATGCACCAAAAATCATAGAATGGACTTGTACTGCTTATTTATCTGCGTTTGTGTATAAACAACTTTTTTTATGTTGCATTGCCGTCTCCTCATGCTGCATGCAACATATTCTAGTTTAGTTTTGATCGTAGGTATCGTGTTAATTGCAATTTGTGCACAAGGTCGTGTTCGTACGGGGCTCTGAATGGGAGTCACTTCTACCGCTACCACCGAACGGTGCCCTGAATAGGAGTCACTTTTACCGCTACCCTCGTACGGTGTCCTGAATAGGTGTCACTTCTACTGCTACCCTCGTACGGTGCCCTGAATGGGAGTCACATCTACCGCTACCCTCGTAGGGTGTTCTGAATGGGAGTCACTTCTACCGCTACCTTCGTACGGTGCCCTGAATAAGAGTCACTTCTACCGCTACCCTCGAACGGTGCCCTGAATAGGAGTCACTTCAACCGCTATCCTCGTACGGTGGCCTGAATGGGAGTCACTTCTACCGCTACTTTCGTACGGTGCCCTGAATGGCAGTTAGTGTTGCTTGTTGATCCAGACGTATTTTGCGCGACTTTTATCGTTTACATTATGTTCGGTCATCACTCGACTATTTAATGGTAATTACTAGTCATATTGCTGACTACTTGCGCGTTAAATGTACTAAAATAGTTGATATTTGATAGTGTTTCGTGTGTGCAAGGCTTGGTTGCTAAATTGCCCCCATTGGGTCCGAAGTGTCTTAAAGTGGCCGCTAAATTGAGCCCTTTTTTATTTTCCAAAATATGCGCTGGGAAGCCTTCATTTTTTTGCGGATTCTGTTAGTGCAAGTGTTTTTATTGAAGATGCAATTCTGCCGTCTCGCGAAATTTTGTCCTATGTACCTCAAAATTGCCGCTAAAAGTTATCCATTTTTCATGTTTTCTTTTCTGCTTCGGAGCTTCCCGAATTGCGATGGTCGATCCTTGCACTATAATAGAACAAGGAATTAAAATATAATAAACAACGATACCCCCTCTTAACAATTTAATTTGTTTCGCAGATTTTTGTCATCGTTAGCCCTTGTCGTTTAGCCCATTGTGTTGCAACACAATTCACACGTATGATAGCATTACTTGTTTGATTTATACAGTCATGCTCGTTATACGTACGTCTATTTAGTCATTTTGCGCGAACGGGGCATCACACAAACTTCAGCGATGAAGAATTAAATTCTCCGTCGGTTTGTATTGTTTGTTGCAGGAATTCAATCAGCAACCCACGATAATTTGCATAAAAGTGTGACTTTTTTCAATTTTTTTTGTGAACTCCTTTAAAGTAAATTATTTTAAATTTCCATCTGATAGAGAACATTAGTTTGTAATTATACCGTGTTTTTTGCGCAGTGCAGTATTCCAAATATAAAAGATAGTCCCGTGTCTTGCTGATACAACACAGAATTAACTGTTTAGTTTTCCCTTCGTAAATAAAAACGCTAAAGTTGTACTTGAAGATTCTACTCTGCAGAATTCTACTCTAACCGTCTTTAAATAACCGTTAAAGTTAGCATTTTATTTTTCAGTTTTCCAAAGCTGGAGGCGGAAAAGGGGTCATAACACAGGAAGCCCTCGTGATATTTTCATTTTTTCTTCGGCTTCTGTTAGCGCAAGAATCCTTCTTGAAGATGCACTTCGGCAACACCCCGAAATTCAGTTGTAACTGCCTTAAAATGGCCGCTTAAGAATGCTCTTTTTTTGCATCCTTCATGACGGTGGAAAACATTTCTTGCAAATCCTTTTAGATATTTTAGAATTTTTTTATGGACTCTGGTAGAACAAGAGTTAATTCTTTAGATGCACCCCTGAACTCCCGCAATATTCGGTCGTAACTGCCGCAAAATGGCCGCCTACGCTTGACCAATTTTTATGGATTTTATAAAACACGCGGTGGAAAACAGGTCATAACTTGGGAACGCTTTATAATATTTTAGTTTTTTTTTCTTTATTTTAAGATAGGGCAAGAGAACATTTTTAATATGCACCCCTAAACCCTTGCGAAATTCGGTTGTATCTGCCTCAAAATTGCCCCCAAAATTAAGCGTTTTCTTGCAATTTTTAAAACACGCGGTGGAAAACAGGCCATATCTCGAGAACCTTTTGTCATATTTTAGTTTTTTTTTAATTTTATGGTAGGACATGAGCGCATTTTTAAGATGCACCCCTGAAACCCTGCGAAATTGGGTTGGAACTGCCTCAAAATGGCCCCCAAATATAGGCGTTTTCTTGCAATTTTTAAAACACGCGGTGGAAAACAAGTCATATCTCGAGATCCCTTTGTCATATTTTGGTTTTTTCTTCGTTTTATGATAGGACAAGAGCGCATTTTTAAGATGCACCTCTGAAACCCTGCGAAAGTCGGTTGGAACTGCCTCAAAATGGCCCCCAAAGTTAGGCGTTTTCTTGCAATTTTTAAAACATGCATAATAAACCACGACACTCTTTCCCCGCACTCTTTGTTCCGCAGATTTTTATTATCGGTTGCTCTTGACAAAGTGTTGCAACACAAAACACACGTATGATAGCATTACTTGCTTAATTTATTCAGTCATGCTCATTATACGTACGTACGTCTTTTAGTCATTTAGTGCGAACGGTGAGTATTCGTTTGTTGTGTGATTATTTCACTCTTTTCGTGAACCTCATCGAATTAAATTATTTTAAATTTTCATCAGATAGAGAATTTTCCAATTTTCCAAAATCTATAATTTTCTAGTTCATATTTCTTTCAGTTTAGAAGATATTCACTGTCGAAAATCGTGGAAATCAATTATCAAGCACCCTCCCCTTGCCCACTATATCTTATAGAAAATTTAATGCAGATTGCAAATCTTCAATCCGTTCCTCCCTATCTCTTTTAGTATCAGTATTTGTTTGGCTAGAACCATGCTTTCGAGTCGCATTTATATCAAACTACACTTCGCGGAGTCGTTTTATTGCATGTTTAGTCTCTGCGTTATTTAATCTCGACTTGTTCGCAATGTTCTAACCATCGTTCTCATCTCTGTTTCAGCAGTCTTCTTTAGAGTTCCAAAGGCCGAGTCACGAGTTAAATTTGAATGCGACTCTCGATTTAAAATAAAATAAATATTGACCCCTCCTTCCCGCATATCCCCTTAACAATGCCATTAATTTTTTATGACGAAATATTTTTTCTCCAAATACAGCTTCTGTAATAATTGGAATTTTTAAATTCTGTTTTCGGGTTCTGAAAGTAGATTAAATTCTGAATGCAGTAACACAATTATAGATTAAAGCCCTATTGACATGTAAAATCCTATTTTTGTTTTGAAAATGCAAATTGTATCAAAGTAATTGACATTGGTATACCTATACATATATAATAAAAGTATACAATACAACAATTATCTAACTGGTATCCCCAACTAGATGTTTACGTCGGCTGGCAATTCTCTTTCCTGCTTAGTCGGTCGTGCGCCATAGTGTCGTGAGCACGTGTTTTGTTTGTGAGTCTATTCATAGTTATTAATCGCGTTTCTTGAGATATTTATGTGATAGTGGCATGGTAGACAATGAATTTGCGGATGTGTGGCTTGCAGTTATTGAATTGTCGGGCAAAGAAACG